TTTTTTTTTTTTCAAAAATACAATTAATTAATGAGAATAACCGTGTAAGTTTATGCAGTGATGCTGACATTACATCAGACTTTCTAGCTCTTCTCAGGATTTTAAAATCTGAAAGAAATACAGTTTTTTTTACTTGCACTGTGTACTAAATTTATCTCTACATTTTTGCCTAAACTCTTTCTCAAGACTACTTCTCTCTGAACATAAGAGCAACGCCTTTATTCTTGAAGTTAAGTTTTGCCATTGATAGCAGTCATAATAAAACTCCCGCTGCCATTAAGGAAAAATGTTGCAGGAAAGTAAATGACTAAATAAACAGAAAAAAAAAGCCCGTTCAAACGAACAACCGACAGAACGAATAATCATATTTATATAAAAACTGTTTGGAAGACATCAAAATCTTGGTCTGAATAATCAATGAAAAACACATCAAAAAATGTGATTACTTATAATCCGCATTACACTACTGAAATAGCCAGTCCCTTCGTTGCACACTTTGCAGAGTACGAGTAAACTCCTGAAATTAGATTAACCTTTTCGGAACCAAACTGTACTTTGACACTAGTAACACTTCTCAACTGTCCAATAAGCTCCCAGATTTGTGTAAGTCAGTGAGTTACCACACCTATTAAGAGAGAATAATTCTGTGCCAATAAACTGACAAGACAGAACCATGCAACACGGTAACCTTCGTACTCCCCCACCTAATCCACACCTCGTAAAACTTCTTAAGTCCCTATATCATAAAGCGCAACGCTATGATATTAACTGAGAATGAAAAACCTTAAATTCCATATGCAATGACAGGAGCAGTAACTTTATTACAAATCCTCAACAGCAACTTCGCGTTGTCTTAACAAGCGTAACCAAAACCATAATTCTCAAACCATGACTTTCACGGAACATATTTGGAGTCGAAAGAGAAAGAGATTGAAAGAGTCATGAGCATAAATTTCAAATTCAATTAAAAAATTAGTGCCCAACCAACTGCAAGGTGAAAAAAAAAAAAAATTAAAAATGGCTGAAACCAACAGTTCAAAAACTCACCACTTGGACCGTTATACTTCCCCAACACACACTATTACCTGCTTTCTAGCATCAATGAGAAAACCGCTTCTGTCGGCTAGTTTGATGCAAATGCTCAACAATTTCGCACTGTAATTTAATTGGATCTGCTCTATTTGAATCAAAACCTCCTCAGGCAAACGAAGGTTAGAATTTAAGGCATTTTCTTACTTACGTCCTATTCTCAACTTGACTTTGAAAAATTCAAAAATTTCTTGCGATTCCCAGTAATTACAATGCGTTACCATTTATTTGTTCCAGAGAAGTCATGTGCCACTTCCATAAGAACTTTATTACTTTCTTCTTTCAGTTACTTCAGACACAACGTATACTATCCTCTTCAACGATTAAAAATCTGAGTAAGGTGCTAAGCCAAAGAAGAAATTATTGACTAAGAATAGCACTTTGTTGTGGAAATCCCACTATAATGCTGACCTCAATGATTTATGAAACCATTTTGCTACCGAACAATGAATTAAAAAAAAAAAAAAATTTTGTACAGTTTTTTGGAGGTGAAGGTGGATGGGGTGCAGTGAAAAGGAAGGGCCATTAACAAGCCACCAACTGAAAAAGTGGAAATCCATGTCATTAGGTTTCTCTTTTATTTAATTCCATATAATTAAGTGTAACATGCATTCCCATTTCTTAGTCTAGTGTTATGCTAACTGCCCTTCTCAAAAACGAGAAAAAAAAAACAGTAGAACCGAAAGACTTTCAAAATATACAAAAAACTCTAAATCTAACAAATTTTACAAAGAAGAATGTACAAAGAATCCCATAAACATGAATTTAACGCGCTCAAAACGTATAGCCGTATCATTCAACCATACTAGTAACACCGTCATCTGCTTCAGCAGTGGATTTCTCACTAATGCCATTACTAAGACCACGATGATCCCCACTCGCTAACATCACGTCTGAAAAAAAATATTTCTCTAGAAGAAAGAAAAAAAATTTTTAGCACACATATCTGCTTTTACTATCAACTTCACTTTCTGAAGTAGAATACCTGCCAAATTTCGAACTGGAGGAGCACTCTCAGCATCAGCTGACTGGTTTTCAGCTGTCCTTCCATCAACTGGTAATTCTCTCACTCCATCTGTCAAACCATCTACTTCACCACCATCAGAAGCTTCATCGTCCTGATTCTTCACCCATTTGATAGGAAATGTCGTAACACGAACGTCGTCTGTACAGACTTTACGTTCCAGCTACAAATGATTTTGCATACCGAGACTCAACCTTCTCCTGTTTTGACAGAGCAAGTTCTGGTTTTAAAAAACAAAAAAATATAAGAGTAAAAATAATGATACAACGCGTTGAACGATCAAAATTTTCTCTGTCAGTCAATTTGATACCTTCTCTAAAATAGGAGTGGTGGGTGGGTTCTCCCTCAACTCCAGCTCAGTGTACTCAGTAGCGACAAACCAGCCAATATTAATAAATTCTTGTTCCATATAACTGCATTTCAACAATAACACTGTGACACCAACAAGGTCATCCTGAGGAATTTTTGATACATCTGGTCCATCAGCCTAAAAAATCACCAAATCTTTTCACAACTTACCATTCAAAAAGAAAGTTAATTTTGAAAAAATTGTGCAAACGCTCAAAAACTGAGAAAGTTTAAATGACCTGTAAAGAAAGTAGTACCTGAAAAACAAATTTGTGCCGACCTTCCACAACAGGACCTACGAGAACTGAATCGAGCACTTGGTCATACTTCTCCGATTCTGCAGATCCAACATACAATAATTCCCAATCCAGATCTGGAAATATTCAGAAGTTAATTAACTTAAAATTGACAAGGAAATATAGTGCTACAAGCAAGAATGCCAGTTAGAAATTTCTGAAAATATACCTTAAAAGGTTCACTGTATTCTAAAAAACTCAACATCTGAGGATGATGAATACAATACTTCAAAAGGATTAAAAAAACGAAAAGGTTTGCATGCTTCAACCAGATCGTTAAAATCTATGACTCGCCAGAGAAAGATAGTTAATCCCATGATATGCAGTAAAGAATAGCAGAAGAGAAACCTTCAGCAAGATTTTCGAATACTTCGAAAGTGATCTCTAATTTAAATGGGTCGGTAAACTTTGATGGGTTGTCCAACACATTTACACTGCATATATTGACAAGAGATGCCATTATGACTATCTGAAAGGATCTTTCAGTAATTTCAGCGTCCGAAGATTGAACTGGAAACAAACACGAACTTTGAACAGGAGTCACTAACTGTCAACCAGCTTTAAATACTTGTCTGAAACTACCACATCATCAAAACGTGAAAAAAAAACGGGAACAAAAATATTTTATTAAGAACAACCAAACAATGCATAGTGCATAAACAAAAAATAACAAACTACTCCCTACTCGCAAGAATAGCACCTATAAAATCTAAAAACGTTCCCAAATTTCAAAACCTTCGGATGAGCCGCCATCACAGGCATCACTTTATTCCAAAACATAAATACTTGCTCATAAGGGCGGTGCCTCCCATCCAGATTACCGAAACAGCGTCCTGCCAAACACACACTGGGAACGCATCTCCTCGCCAATAAATGGAACCCCTGGAACTCACACTGCGAGAAGAATCAACAAAACCCGGAATGCTTATAGACAGACCCGCTTCTGTTCTGCACTTTTTCTTGGCGGGACTTTCGAATCTTACTTTGTTGGCGCCGTTCCAGTTAAGAAATTCGTTTCTCCTGTCGTATCAAACAGTATAATTACAGGTCACCTAATTACCGAGGTATATATACCTCCGGGGATCCCGCCAACATGAAACGTAACTGATGGAGCAGTTCCAATTGTTTAAGCGCGATGTTCGTTGATTTTGACTCTGTAACGGTTTTCTTCTTTTCGTGATGTTCGACTCCGAATCACCTGTGGTTTTAGGATGTTCTGAGGTCAAATTGCGCAGCTGCGCTAGTCCGAGTAAATGGAATCGAACGTTTTTTGAGTTACTCGTTGGTTTTTTGCGAGAGTATATATTTTTCAACATGAGCTCGCCGTAGTTCTGGAAGGATTTTTACCTGCCCGTATTTTGATTATAGGACCAGTCTGCGGTCATTAAAACACTCCAGGAATAAGCCGTTTAAATACGTTAGTCATGATTGGAGGTCGCTGTAACACGTCAATTCTTGCCCAGGTTCATTTTCTTTGCTTTTTCCAAAACTTCTTTCATCTGGAATGCTTAGTCAGGAAACATTGTCCTGTTTAGAACGCTCTAGAGATAAGCTGTGTAAATGTGCCAGCCTGACTGAACAAAGTCAAGCGTCTTTCCTGGCCATATTTGGGTTTTTTACTTGAGTCCGTGGCCCTGCGCATTTCAAGAAAACTTTCATTTATCTAGGGTGTCCGCCTCGGAACTGCTTATAATCCTTTAAATGCTTCACGAATGAGCTACTAAGCTACGCTTCCTCCTGAGTTACCCGTTGCTTTTTTTTCTTGAGTGGTACTTTTTGCATTACGCTTCAACATCACACACTATACACTCCTACACAAGAAGTGAATACTATGTTTTGGTAAACTTCTTTTGGTACCACTCAATCATCAAGAGATATGTTTCTAGTTACACACTCTTCTTAATGTTCAGTTTTATTCCTTTCTAAAGCTTTTCTGGTAGCGATTTAGGCAGTAATGGCGATTAGTCAACACTCTGAAGAAACCATTTGGAAAAAGTCGGAAAGTAATCAAATCGACTGTGGTTTTACTCGGAGGCAAGTTTTTACAGGATTTTAAAGTAATGGAATTTATATACACTTCGGCAACTTGAAGAGCCCATCATTCAGAAATCTAAGACTCTTTTCAAGTTTTCTGTTGAAAATACTTATTGGGCAGTATAGTTAAGAGGTACAGTTTATAAATGTTCATTAAAACTTTAAAGCGAAAAGCACTGATATAAGGAATTATTTAAGGATACTATAAACTAACATCTATGATTAAACATATCTTGGACCATAGAAGAGATGTGCTCCTGCATCTTCCTTGTACGACAGTCGTCTTCAAAAACAGCATTGTCATAGAACATTAATTTCAAAAAAAAAAACAGAGTTAAATCATTTCTTTAGCAAATGTAAAACATTTCATCTTAGTGAGCTTGGTTTAAGTTGATTTTATTTCAGTAGCAAGAGAAATGAATGATTCTGAAAGAACGTAACAGAAAAAAAAAAGTTGTTTACTTTGAATAAAACATAAAAAATATCAACCCAATATAGCACTAAACGGTTAGAAATTTTTTTGTCTCGCACTATCAGAAGGAACACAAAGGAATGAATAGCACAAAAAAGTGGCAAATAGACAAATGAACTTCGAACCAGCTTCTCATATAGCTGCTGTTTACTCTTCTGGTCTCTTGCTTGCTGTACATAACGTCAAATTTTAGAGTGGAAAAAAAAGAAACAGTTTTTCGTTACTGACCTTGATTAATTCAGGGAAAATTTGCCGCAGACTAGTGGTTATATGAGATTATTGTTTAAAACGAAGAAGTGCTTGACATCTACGGAACGCATGAAACGTTACTATGTATATGTGGAGTCCATGGTTGAATTTCAAATTAGCACTAGCGGAGGCAAATAAAACGTTACTTAACAGGCTAAAATGCCATTTCAAAGCTACATACAAGTTTTTGAAAGACGTCCAAAACTCTAGAAGGTAGAAGCACAAAGGATTATTATTTTTTGGCTTTTTCCTGCTGCAGGTGCTATTATATTATTTACTCTACAAGGATTAGACTATGTTTTCATTTTGGTGTCACCCTTTCAGTTGTAATCTGTAAAAAAGTGGTCAAAGAAGTAAATTATCGGGATTCTCGACAAAAACTGGATTTATCTCATGGCAGATGTGCTCATTCGCGTTATCAAAGTTTTAGATTTAAATTTTAGATAAAAATTTTTTTTTGCTGTGAGGAATAGGTACTATACAAAGCAAAGACTATTCGCTTTGTTTGACGTTTTTTTTTAACCTTACAACTGCTCTTCACTGAGTTGCGGTACGATGACCGATTGTTGAAAATTTATAGTCAAATTGTTTAACCAAAACTATAAAAGTGAAGCCAAACATTGATCAGCTATAAATCTCGATCTTTGATAGAGTTATGTTTGCTGATTCTACAGTCAGTCTCTTCAGTTTACTGAAACGGTAGGCTACCAAAATTAGTCACGAGTAAGTATCAGGTTATCATTGAATTCTTCTTGTTAAAGATGACTCAGTTTTACGCTGTAAATGTGCACAGTTCCCTTCTTTTTCATTTTAATTTTTGCTAGATCCAAAACTTTTTTTTTGCGCACATAAGCATTGTCAACAGTTTTATTTATGTATATTTTACAAAGTTGTCGGTTTCATACTGGTTAAGAGTGGGAAAAAAATTGTGTATATTTGCTCTAGAATCAAAGATCAGAGCATTTTCAAAATCTTAATTGTCAGCAAAATTCTGTACAAATTCTGTAACATTTGACGAATTGGTTTCTGTTGTTGATGAAGAATTTTACAGTTGATTGTATGAGACGAATCATTGGTGACCTATTCGTCTGATGTTCAACAATGTTTCAAGTTGTAAGATTACAAGAAAAAGTTAAATATTTTTGCATTTTGTTGGAGTCACTGACTGACCGTTGACGGCCAACAGTTTTACATTGGTAATTACAGAAAGGAATAATAGATGTTATGTTTAAGTAAATCTTTCGGTTTTGATGGTGACGTCCAACATAGAATAGTGGCATCAAAAATTGAGTATATTAATTATCTCTTCTTTAGTTATTGAAATTTTTTAGTTAACAATTTATTACCCGGTGTACTGCCGGTACAGCTATGGTTGTTGTCAAATTTTTGCAGACTGAAATATTAAATAAAATGGGATCAATGGTCAGTGGATTATGTAAATAATAATGATTAAACAACAAGTGATCATCAAGGTTTTTTACTGTTAAAAATGTTTTTCATTCCAATTTAGCTAACTTTCTTCCTCAAATTGAAATATTTGGCGAAATAACGTTGCCATTTTGTTATTTTGGATGTATTTACTGCTTATATTTTCCTCTTTGAAATTTCTGTTCTTTACTCACTACTTATTTCTTCAGAAGAATTCTTAGTCTTAGTTTTTCCTTTTCAACAGCAATAATGGTGCACCACTTTTTTTTTTTTTCCGGGGAAATGAAGAAATAATTGACGAAACTTGTAAAACTGATTAAAGGCCCGCCACTTACATCAATTAATCAGCTTTTGCTTACAGAAAAACGAATTTTTTAACCTATTCTTTATTGTCTAAAAGACGTGGGGTTTTTTTTGCGTGATGGTAATCATATCTCATAAAAATTTCCGTCTTATTTGTATGCATAATTGAAAAAGTCATTTCCACTAATTTAGACTTTTAGAATAAGGTTGGAAAAAACGGACGGAAAAAAGATGCCTTAATCAAGAGTTTGTTTATTGACAGAAAGGAAATTTTCCTGTGCCCTTTCTTCTTGGATATTTGAACTACTTCCTACAAAATTCTGGTTGAAAGAAATGAAACAATTCCAAAACTGTTGCAAAAAAACTTTTTTTGCTATAAATTTGAATTAGCTGTACAGCATATAGCTGTATCCGCTTTTTTTTCTAATTCAGGGAAAGGATTAGAAAGAAAGTGGGAAGAATGTGAGAAATTGAAAGAAGCAGTGAAAGTCTCTGTAAGGATTTGTTGAAGATGAATCCAAAAGTTGATGAATTATGGGCCGAAAAAGATCAGATGCTTTATAAACAGTACCAGATGTCAATTAGGTGAATGCAGCAAGATCAGAACGAGGTATTGGTTGGTACAATTCAGCTCTCTGAGTTTGATCAAATTTCCTCGTTTTGCGAAATTCTGATCATTCTTGTAAGTCATTTTAAAAAATCCCTCGCACCAGTAAACTTTGAATATGAAGCTTAAAAAGCTTAAAAATTGATTGTAAACACAGATATTACTTCAAAAATTTCTCCTCTCTTCAGATGAAACATGTTGATATTGCTTGGAAAAGAGAATTTTAATGGTTTTTAGAAAGAGGAAAAGAGGTGAACGCTTTCAGAGGGACAACCAATATTCTTGGCAACTTGAAACAGAACGTATTAAAAAGAACTAAGTCAACTCATTAAGCCAGCTTCTTAGAACTCATATTGCTGAATTCTGCTGACTGCATATCAGAAAATGCATTTCTAGTAAAGATTCTGCTCCTCTTCACATCATTTCATGCAAATTCAAGACTTGAGTCACATTTTCTGAGTCCCGTTCACCGGCGCACGACAATGCAGTTAGGGAACCGACAACAATCAACAGCGATCCTCTGCTTCTCAGTTTCGCCAGCCCCATAGTTCAAACGTTTTGGCTCATTGACAACTTTTGTAAGGTTTCGATATCATGCTGCCCTATTAGTGTTATTTATAAACCAATGCACAGCGCAGAATCGGAATCAGTTGTTCCACCTACCTCTGTGAAATTTTTTTTACTTATCTGTGAAATTTTAGTTGAGAGGTTGCATGAAGTTATTGCTGTTTTTGTACAATTAATTGCTTTTTTTTACTCTCCAGTTTTGATGCTCCGACGCTGGACTTTTTAGGAGTTTTCTTTTCCAATTTATTCTAATGTATTTTACTGATTTTAGCAATGAAAAAACGGACTATCAAAGTTGAGAAAAAAATTGGTCGAAAGAAACCAAAACTCGCTGAAATGGACAGTGAAGCTGATAGTAATACAAGTGAAGAGCTGCTTAATGAAACAAAGAATAGCGTTTCATTCTTAGACGTTGATGATGATGAAGAGGACGAGTCAGACAAAGAGGTGGACAATTTATTTTTTGATACCGATTTTCATTAAAACAGATGCTATAATTTTGTTCAATAAGTTGTTCTATAAAAATCGTACTTTTTTAGTTACAAATTGCTCTTCAAGAAGGTTTGCTAAAGTCTGATGCGCTTAATTATGTCGTTGAGAAAAAGCGTCCTCCAGTAAATAAAGTAGTAAGTGATCATTTGCAAAGTTACCTGGTGTGTCGTATAATTTTTCTTGTTTCTGTTTATTAGACCTGAACATTTCTGTTTATTTTGAAGTTGGAACGATTTTTTACAATTGTTTAAATCTTCAGGAACAGTTGCGTGCTAAGCTTGAAAAATTAAAAAAGGAACTTCCTTGGCTGGAAACACTGGACGTAGACGTGGAAGAGGGAACTTTAGAGGATGGCAAAATAGAAAATGATTTCGAACGTGAACTGAATTTGTTAGACTTTCTATTTTGGCAAAAGATTTTACCTTTTTTACAATTTCAGTGCAAAACTCTGTTGTTTAAGCTACAAGCAAGCGGAACAAGCTGTAAAAGTTGCTGTACCTCGCCTGTTAGAGATGGGTGTCAAGGTTTTTCGACCTGCGGATTATTATGCGGAGATGGTCAAAGGTGACGACCATATGCAAAGAGTTTGTAATTTGACTGTAAAGTGATTGAGGTTAGTGCTTTGAAAATCGTAGTTAATTACATTTATTCTAGGTACGCAAGAGAATTCAGGCTGTGGAAGAGGGGAAAGAACGGCAGGAGAAGTTTAGGAGATTACGCGAAGAAAAGAAATTTGCTGCAAAAGTACAAAGAGAAGTTAGTAGCGTCGTGTTTTCACTTAGGCTGTCAGAAAATTTGTATTC